AGTCACCATGATTAGGTAACTACATTTCAGATTTTCTTTTCTTTTTTCACTCATGCTTTTGCTTTGTTTGTGGGTGTTTTTTTTTTTGGGCTGACTTTGGATTTTTGCTTACTTTAGGAGTAATACACTAAGAATGACTGTTCCTGCTATTGATATATAATTTTGGGGATAGCTGTTCAGCTTGCAACGTGTGGATTGAGGCTGGGAGTCAGTTTTTAGACCTTGTAGCACTCTTCAGGTAAAGAAATGAATAAGATGTGCCTATTTGCAATCAAAACTGTTCCCTAGTTGCATACATACCCCAGTTGATAAGCAATATGAAATTTTGAGATCACCTAAGACTTTTTTTTTTCATGCCAGGAGTGACTTAAGAAACTGCAAGTCACCTCTGGTGTGAAAGAATTGGCCATCTGCAGGGGTGTTGCCCAGGGGATGTCTAGATATTTTACCCTCCCATGGGAGGCTTCTCTCGTGTCCCTGCATGACAAGCTGGAGCTGATAGATGGGAGTTCACCCTGCTTCCCGGGTTTGAATTGCTGACCTTACGTTACATTATGTTACATTACTACATGGCAGAGCCAATAATGCACACTGGTCCAGTTGAGCAATGGAAAACCAGACCAGTGTGCATTGTATCTTATGTGCATCCCATTGGTTCTGTTGCATAGTATGCACCAATGCACATTAGACATTCTTGGTAGTATCCCATCATGGTCTTTGCAATTAGGTAAAAAAGAGTTTTCTTAGGACCTTTGCTATATAGATAGGTAGGTACACACTAAGTTACAGGTCATATAGAATTTGGCAAATATTTATAGTAGAGCACAATTCTTATATCTGTGGAGGATATGTTCCAAGACTTCCTGTGGACAACTGTAACCACAGATAATAGTAAATCCTATAATATGATTATTCTTGGACCAGAAGTATACTGTAGAATCTTACTAGAGGACCTAGGGCAGTGGTTCCCAACCTTTGGGCGTCCAGGTGTTTTGGACTTCAGCTCCCAGAGTTCCTAACAGTTGGTAAGCTGGCTGGGATTTCTTGGAGTTTATTTATTTATTTACAACATTTCTACCCCATTCTTCTCAACCCCTGAGGGGGGACTCAGAGCACTAACACTGGCAACAATTTGATGCCGCAATATCACAAAATAACAACAATAAAAATCATAAATACACAATAAATTAAAAACAATAACATTAGTTATACAGTTATATAGCTGTTTTCATTATCATAACAATCATATGGTCCAGTTCAATGTCCAAAGTGCCGTTGTGCCTGCTAGCCAAAAGCCTGGTTCCAAAAGCACAATTTCAGTTTTTTTTCCTAAAGGAAAGGAGGGAGGATTCCAATCTAATATCACTGGGGAGCGAATTCCACAAGTGAGAGGTCAACACCGAGAAGGCACTTGTCCCTACCAGACGCGTTTGCGATGCCGATGGGACTGAGAGCAGGGCCTCCCCGGTGGACCTTAAACTACAAGGTGGAATGTAGAGGGAGATACGTTCTGACAAGTAAGCTGGGCCAGAGCCATATAGGGCTTTATAGGCCAAGATCAGCACTTTGAATTGTGCTCAGAAATGGGCTGGCAGCCAGTGGAGTTGACATAGCAGGGGGGTGGTGTGCTCCGATGAGCAAGCTGGCTGCTGCCCATTGGACTAGTTGAAGTTTCAGAACAATCTTCAAAGGCAACCCCACGTAGAGTGTGTTGCAGTAATCTATTCGGGATGTAACCAGAGCATGGACCACATGGCCAGATCAGACTTCCCAAGGTGCGGGTGCAGCTGGCACACAAGCTTTAACTGTCCAAAACACGTGGAGGTCCAAAGATTGGGAACCACTGACCTGGGAGAACTCATAAACACTTCCAGTAAAGAATATTTTAAGAGCATGGATAATTAGATCCATGGATATTGGGTTCGTGGTTAGCTGTACCATTTTAAATAGGTGTCCCATACACACCTAAAATATTTACACAGACTTATTGAGATTCTGCTCATTTTCTTTTCCATACACCCTCTCACGCATTTGAAGCCAGTTCTAGAGGGCAAGAGGAACTGCAGCAGAAAATGCCTCAAAAGCCCATGGCTTCCAAGAGCACGCTTTTTGAAATTACATATACTGCGGTAAGAGGAGACACCACCATTTATATTTCCAGATGGGGAAAAGAGAAAGATCTCTATCAAACAGTGGCAAAAAACCCCTTTGACTTCCACAATGGCTACTATTTTCACAAGTAATGCCAAACCACACTTGAGCATTACATGGATGAGTTCAGCTCCTCTCTCAGCTTCCTCCACGACTAGATCAGAAACTTCAACTTTTGTTTTCATATTAACCCCAGTTCTAAGTGTTCCTCTGACACTAAACTCTGTTTAAACTTAACTCTGTTTAAATCTATGTTTTACTCCACTTTGTCAAAAAACCTGATACCCAGAGCATTATTAAAGCAAAAACAAAACTCTTCCATAGTGAAAGGAGTGGATAAGATCACAAGGAAAGCTAAGTTAATTCTTGTTGTTCATTCATTCAGTCGTCTCCGACTCTTCGTGACCTCATGGACCAGCCCATGGGGTCACGAATTCTACTAAGTTAATTCTACTAACACTAAAATATAGTGTTGCATTACATCCAAAGCAGGCACAATAATATGTTGATTTTACTTTCTATGAAGACGAGAGTGAGTTTTGCCTAAGGGGCTAACAATAAACTAGCTTAGTCCTGATCCTGAAGTTTGCTGTCCTACAAAAGAAGGGCTGGAATCATTATCTGTCACAAACCAAAATGCTATGTCAGTATAGCGGGGATATTAGGTAGGTGTATGAAACTAATATTATGCCAGAAATGTTTAGGTTTTGAAGCGTATCAGCTCCACTGAACATAAAAGAGATACCAAATCAATTCAGAATGTTTCCGTTTATGTTAGAATCACAAAGATATAAAGAGACCAAGAAAGCAAAAGGGAGCTAAGAAGGAACAAGTAGAGGCGTGTCAAAGTACTCAAGCTATAACCAAAAAGAAATATTATATGCCTTTGCTCGTCTTCTCAATGCTGGACCAAAGCTCAATCTATGTAGGTATATGCACATTGTATAGATATGGCTAAATGTTGCTGACAATCTTGCAATACTAAACTGTTACTATTTTAAAAGGGAAAAGAAGAAATACAGAAAGAAACTGTTCATCAGTGTTTTACCTCAGCACTCTACTTGTACCCAACTCATGAGCAACACTGAATTAAGGATTTTAAAAAAATATTTAAAAAAATAAAAAATAAAGGAAACCGATTTCCATGTAAATGTTTGACTGTAAAAAAAAAATCTGTTTCAGTAACATTTTGTACTGAGCTTTTTGTCATGTAGTTTGCTTGTTTCCAACCTGAGATTATGTGGGGCACATTTGTTTATTTATTGTTGGGAAAGTGGATCTTTTTTAACCTTTAATTTTATAAATATATAAATATATATTTTGGTCCAATGTGCTCTTGGGTGCAGTCCAGAAACACTGTTGCTGTGTTGCCCGCATTCGTTTTCTGGGCACTTTTGGGGGGCTTCCACCCCAGGGCTCCTCTGAAATGGATAGAGGCGATATCGCAGGAGCCTGTAGTGTCTGGCTCCCATAATCGACAGAATGGTCACCAGGGTCACTATGAAGCACTGCAAAAGAGACCTGCTTTCCTATGTATGGCATATGCAGCAGGAAAGATGGCAGAGAACGGAGTGGACTGTATTGTGTTCTTCATTTGATTTTTTTTTTTTAAAAAGGAAAATAAAATATGGAGGACTTGTGACCAAGAAGCCAAACTGGTTATTTCAAGCTCCTTGCTGTTCTGATTTTGAAACCAAAGCTGATTTATCTGCACAGGTTGCTTACCATTTAAAAAAAAATTAAAAACTGACAAAAAAACTGTACTTAAACTAGAGCAATATCTGTATGGTCAGTAAAGCTGCACTTTGTGTATTTCTTAACAGCTTCAGATCTGTCACTTTTAATTTGTACCATAAAAAAATAAAGAACTGTTTGACATGAAAAATAAGCTTCCATCCCAGGCTTGTCCCTAAGTCTCATGAATTATTCACAGGATCAAATCTCATGTTATTTTACATCAGTTCAATACAAAAACAGTTTCAAAATGCGTGAAAAAAAAATTGAAAGCTGTTTGCTACGGCTAAACTGGAGATAGACAGTACTTTTTAAAAGTAAGCTGAATGTACTGCAAGAGAGAATGTTGCACACACTCTTTTGTCCTATTATTCTTTCTAGGCCAGTGGTTCTCAACCTTCCTATTGCCACGACCCCTTAATAGAGTTCCTCCTGTTGCGGTGACCCCCCAAACCATAAAATCATTTTCATTGCTACTTCATAACTGTCATTTTGCTACTGATATCAATTGTAATGTAAATATCTGATGTATTTTCATTTACTGGACCAAATTTGGCACAAATACTCAATACACCCAGGATTGACTACTGGTGGAGTTGGGGGGGGGGGGGATTGATTTTGTCATTGGGGAGTTGTAGTTGCTGGGATTTATATTTCACCTACAATCAAAGAGCCTTCTGAACTCCACCAATGATGGAATTGAACCAAACTTGGCACACAGAACTCCCATGACCAACAGAAAACACTTTGGTGGGACCTTGAGTTTGGGAGTTGTAGTTCACCTACATCCAGGTAGAGCACTGTGGACTTAAACAATGATGGATCTGAACCAAACTTGGCATGGATACTCAATATGCCCAAATGTGAACAGTGGTGGAGTTTGGGGAAGATAGACATTGACACTTGTGAGTTGTAGTTACTGGGATGTATAGTTCACCTACAATCAAAGAGCATTCTGAACCCCACCAGTGACAGAACTGGGCCAAACTTCCCACACAGAAACCCCATGACCAACAGAAAATACTGTGTTTTCTGATGGTCTTTGGCGACCCCTCTGACACCCCCTCGCGACCCCTTCAGGGGTCCCGACCCCCAGGTTGAGAAACACTGTTCTA